AGATCCATAATGGGTAGTGTTTGTTTTGATAATTCAGAATTGCTAACGATAGTCATTTTTTTTTTCTTATTAAAGTTCTGACATAGAGTACGAAAAATATTACTTCTGAAATTAATAGATTACCTTCCTAAGCCTATTTCATTAGTGAATTGTTGGTTGTATTCAATCTTGCGAATCTACACAACAAAAAAAATTATAAAGATCCCATTGTAACGTCTGTCTATACTAGACTTATAACGGTTTTCAGGCTCAAGGGAACACTTTAATTTTTATTTACAAGCCTTACATAACATGTACAGAACTCTATTTACAAAAAATGAAAATTAAAGATAATTGCATCCACAAGTTCACTCCAAGGACGGGGATTTTGAGTTCTCGAGTCTTGACGAATCTAATGCTCTGGGTCTATGGCAAAATCTTAATTATCGCTCTGCGTGATACATGAAACCACAAGGTGCTCACTTTGTAAGCAGGCTTAATTTCCTGCCTGTTCAATCACTTCAGAGAAAAATACTGTTCATTGACTCGTAGCAGAACTCTCTCATTTCTTCTCCAGAAACCTACCTTTAAGAAAATCCGTCAAGAGGAGACGTTCAGCTTCCCTCGATTCTCATTGGAGTAGACATTTTCTCAGCTCATGGACTATCATCAATCACTATGCAACAACTCCTCGTGTAGTCCATCTGTAATTGTTTCTAATGCCTTTACCTAGCAAAAGTTAATCTGAAATAAAAGTGAAAAACAAAAAAAATTGAATTCATTTTATATATTGAAACAAATTACCAAAATATAGAGTATTAAGAGAAAAATTTGTTTGTAGTCGTATTATTTTTATAATTATACTTATAAATATTGCTTTGAATTAGATCAATATATTTCAGTCTTTAGAATTTTTAATATACTGGTTTCGGGTTCGAGTCCAAGCAGGGCCATGAATGTGTACAAAGAAACATCTCCTGTCTCGAAATCTGTCAGTAGGCAGACTATTTTGTTCCATCATGTGCCAATGATAAAGAAGCTGTTGAACCTTTCTCTATTGTTGGAAGGGGAATATGACATAATCAGTCCTTATGATTAGAATGATCTTTAAAACCAGATACTGTGGCATAGGATTCAAAGTCTTCATTCAAGTCGACTATTACAGCTGAGTCACAGTGAAACCCTAATTTGCTAGTTCCCTGAGCTTTTAGCTATTTAAACTCAATTTGTCCTTCAGGCCTATATTCACCACTCCAATTGCAACAAAGCAATGTATACTTGTGAATCTGCTTCTAAACATTTAATTTAATCGCAATATATTTCTTGATGTTTTTTCAATTCCTTCTATTAGCTCACACTCTCCCTATATATATCTTGTTCAAATTTTCAGTCGTTTATAAAATACTTTTTATTCATCCACTCAAGTTCAAATACATTTTGTTGAACTTGTAGTGGGTGACACTGGATGTTAATACAGTTTTTGCAAATATTAATTCAGTAATTAAATTTAAATAATTAATTTTAGTTTTTTTTTTAATTTAAGTTGCATGTATCTACCAATAGATGGCGCCAGATAAACTTAAGAAAATAAATGAAAAATAATGAAAAATGAAACTCCTTTATAAAAATGAAAATTATTTATAAAGGAGTTTCTGCAATATAGTGAAAAAAAAAGTAGGAATTAACTTTACATTTTTTTTTTTATATTACTTGTTTATTCTTTATCAGGTAGCGGTCTGATAGCCAATTAGCCAATGCTCTTGCCTTTGATAGCACAAGATTCAGGTTCGAATCCTGACGGTGGCATGGATGCTTGTTAGTGGCTGAAAAACCACGTTAAACAATGGGTCCCAGTCTAATTAGCCCAAAGTATTTACAAAATGACCTTAGAGCGACAAACCAAACCTCTTCATCAGCTAACAATTCAGAGAAATCTAATAACTAAATACTTGTCTAGTGAATTAAATTAAATAAAATTGGTTATCCATATAAAATTTACGAAAAACATTTGTTACAAAATTTTTTGTTAACATTGAATAAATATTACAACAGTTTGAAATATTTTATTAATATATAAATGCTATTGAATCTTTCTCTATTGTTGAAAGCGGGATATGACATAAATAGTCCTTATGATTAGAATGGTTCTTAAACCCAGATACTGTGCCATACAACGCAGTCTTTTAATCAAAGTCTTCATTCAAGTTGACTATTACAGTTGGTGTAACAGTGAAACCCAAATATGCTTGTTGTATGAACTTTTAGCTGTTTAAACCCAATTCTTAACATCAGATTTAACTACAATTCATTTTGTGATGGGTTTTTTTATTCTACATCAGCTAGCAGCCTATTGACCAATTGGCTAGTTCTTTAGTCGTTGGTACCACAGGCTTCAGGTTCGAATCCTGGCTGTGGCATGGATTCTTGTTAGTGGTTCGGAATCCACTTTAAACTGTAGATCCCGGTCTAATTAGCCCAAAGTGTGCACAAGATGACCGTAGAGCGCCAAACCAAACCTCTTCATCAGTTAGCAATTCAGAGAAATCTATTAAATAATTGTCTAGTGAATTAAATAAATAAAATTGATTATCCGTATTAAATTTAAGAAAAGTATTTGTTAAAAAATATATTGTTAACATTGAATAAATATTACAACAGTTTGAAATATTTTATTAATATATACCTGCTATTGAATCTTTTTCTATTATTGTAAAGCGAATATGACATAATAGGTCCTTATGATTAGAATGGTCCTTAAAACTAGACACTGTGGTATATGATTCAAAGTTTTTCATTCAAGTCGACTGTTACAGTTGAGTTACAGTAAAACCCAAATTTTCTGGTTCGCAGAACTTTTAGCGGTTTAACCCCAAATTTTCCTTCAGGTCTATAGGTTTGGTTTGTCGCTCTACTGTCATTTTGGCGTACTTTGGGCTAATTAGACCAAAATCTACAGTTTAACATGTATTCCGAACCACTAACAAACCTACGTGTCACCGCCAGGATTTGAATCTGAATTCTGTGATACCAAAAAACCAGAGCGCTAGCCTATTGGCTATCACACCGCTTCAGATCTATATTCTCCACGCCAATTACAACGAAGTAATAGTCAGTCTTTACAGTTTATTGGAGTACCTTGTGCCCAGGGAGCCTTGAACTCCTATCTGATCAAAATATTTACATGGCGATAAGTAGGAGAAACATGGTTATCAAAAAACAGTAGTTAAGGAAAATGTCCCCAAATTCAAAATTTTAAGAAGAAAATGAATAATATAAAACAGTAAAATAAAAAGAAATTCCGCAGGAGGATAGGGTAACCGCTGCTAGAAATAATGACGAAAGGACGAGTTCGTCTGGGAGCTTTGTAAATTGTAAGGAACCGCCCTGGGGCGTTTAGCATTTTCCGGCAGAGTAAAATCGTATCTCGGGAGATTACGAATTTCATCATTCGGAATATGTTTAAGATTTGCATAGAATTTTTCAGCAAGCTTGAACATAAAATTTTGAATAGAAGGGAGGGCAAGACTGTGACGAATGTCATCATTTCTAAAATACCACGAAGAATCAGTAATCATTCTTAGAATACGAAGTAATATATGCGTATGGTTCTGCTGCTTATCATCTGATAACTGCAATAAATTTCGTGGTGGTTTATCGATTCTTCCTCAGCTAAACATTAAGGAAAATATAATATATAAATAACTGCCTAGTGATTTAAAGTAAATAAAATTGATCGTCCATATTAAATTTAAGAAAAAAGTGTAAAGTTGATTTGTTTACAAATCTTAATTTCACGACGGCTTACCGTAGCATAATAGTTTTGGCATGTTATAGATACAGACGAATTATTTTTAATTAAAACGATGACCCTGTTAAAAAAAGAATCCTATAATAAATACATTAAATATTTAAAAATAATTAAATGCAGACGTTTTTAAAATTTTGAATTGATTTATCAAATCTTTGCAGAAACTTTTATTATTTTTTTAACATTTCTAACATTGACGATGATATCTTCAAAATTACCTAACTCATTTGTTTCACTATTATGTTAGATAATGATGATAATTATGTTAGTTATGTTAATTATTATGTTAGATGATAATTTATAACAACAGTATTTTCATTCTATTTATCAAATGGTGTGAAAGTTTAAGATATGTTAGAAGAAACGCGAATTACATATCATATTCACCAGTGTTGACTATATGTGATCATGCCTGACTTGTTTCGCACTGTTGACGCACCTTTGCTTCACCAACACCTAGTTTCCAAACTTGTTTCTTAACAAACTAGGTCAACAATTCCTTTTATTTGGATTTCTCACAGGTTTGGTAGAAGGGGGCGTAGCTCAGATGGTAGAGCGCTCGCTTAGCATGCGAGAGGTACCGGGATCGATACCCGGCGCCTCCAATTTTTAATTTTTAAATTTTAATAGAATAAAAAAGGTTTTTTAAATTATTTTAATTTTCTTGAAATTTTCACCACAATTAACTTGAGAGGCATTCTACCAAAATAGTAGAAAGTTACTGCATTAACAATATATTTTGAAAGAAAATTGACAAAATTGGCGATGTACAAAATTTAACAAAAGAAGCCCATAACATAAATAAAAAAAAGGAAGGCCTGAATGGCCGAGTGTCTAGCGCTGTGGTGCTCGGTGACACAGGTTTTGGGTTCTAGTCCCGGCGGTGCCATGGATGTTTGTAGTGGTTCGGGATCCATTTTAAGCCGTAGGTCATGGTCTCTTATGACTGTAAAAGAGTCACGGAGCTAAAGTCTGACTTCTACCTACGGGTGCTTCATCACAACAGAAGCTGCCCTTCCCCTCTATCCATGAGTAGATCACTCATGGGATGTCCGTCCCGCACTGCAGGACACTGAGGATCAGTCACAAACAAACAGTCCATGGCACCGCCGGGACTCGAACCCGAAACCTGTAGTACCTAGCGCCAGAGCGCTAGCCACTCGGCCATTCCTTCAATCATGAGTATGATTGAAGGAATTCCCAATGATGCTTAACTTCTCGTTAGATCACCGAAGTCAAGCATCATTGGGCGCGGTCAGTACTTGGGTGGGTGACCACCAGGGAACACCGCGTGCCGTTGGCAAATTTGTGACCTGAATGCCCGAGTGTCTAGCGCTCTGGCGCTCGGTGCCACAGGTTTCGGGTTCGAATCCCGGCGGTGCCATGGATGCTTGTAGTGGTTCGGAATCCACTTTAAGCCGTAGGTCCCGGTCTTCTATGACTGTAAGAGCGTCACGGAGCAAAAGTCAGGCTTCTACCTACGGGTGCTCCATCACAACAGAAGCTGCTTCCTTCCCCTTCAATCATGAGTCCATATGGGCTCGTGGGCTTGGCCAGCCAAGTGGGATAAGAAACAACAACAACAACAACATGAGTATGTAACGGGTTCGTGGGCTTGGCTTAGATGTCAGCCAAGTGGGATAAGAAACAACAAGAAAATGGGTTTGTCCAGTTTGGTTAATGGCCATAAGGAAAATGGGTTTAGCTAAGTTTCAAATTATATCTGCTTAGTTCTCAAGTTCCATGGTTAGGATGTGAATAAAATGAGATTAGAGAATCTAGTAGTTATAATATTTTTTTATATATTTCGATAAATATCCATGCCCTTCTTTTATACATCAGATTTTATCTTGTAGTCTCGATCACACCGATAAATAATATAAAAAAATGCTGAAATCTGCTCGGCAAATTTCAAATTATCATGTGTGAACATTCGAGAACGGATGAATAAACTCAGGTTTCATAATGCAAGATATATCTGAAACAATTGATTGGACTACTACAAGAATGGCTAAATTCAATAGCCACATATATAGCAATGTAGAATAGATCAAGAACTTCATGACGAAATAATTGTTCAAGAAACTCTAAAAGAATATACAAAAGTAAGATAAATGTCGTCGCAAATTAAGAATGAAGTATTCCCCATTCTACAAGAAATGTTATCGCATTCAATAACCAAAAGAATATATCAAAGTTTGAAAATTCTAGTCGTAAATGAAGAATGAAGTATTCCAAATACAATAAGAAGCACTATACAGCTCAATAGGCATGGGAAAATGTCAAAAGTGATAAATAAGATACTTCAAGAAGTAGGAATTGATCAACGCACGAAATGTACTCATAGCCATTGTATATACAAATGCTTAAAATCCCAACCCAAAACATGAAAAGAGATTCAAAACCATACTACAAAACACTTCAAGCAAAAGTCAAATTCTCTAGAAAATTCCTCAAAATTAACGTTATTCATGAATTATTTCTGGAGTTAATGTGCCATTTTCCATTTTCCGCCAAAATTTACAATGGAGTTTTATTTGCTTGACCCTCATTTTCGGATAACGTCACGAACCCCTAACCAGGACAACATCATGTTCCCACATGATAAAAAATAATGAAAATATTTGATAAAAAATCTATTGTTAACATTAAATAGATATTAAAAACAGTTTTGAAATATTTTATTGAAACAGATAATTATTTAAAAATATCTAGAAAATAATTAATTGGCAAATAAGCAAAGATAACAATCAAGTCAAAAAATTAATATCACAATAGAAATTATTTTAAAGTAATTTACAATAATATAGCAGGGTACCCAAGTGACATTTTTTTGGAAAATTAAGCTTATATTTTGAAAATGTTTCCATAACTCATATGCTATTCTAAATTTCCTGTTCCCATTCCTCTTCTTGACATCCGAAAGAAAGTTCACGCTTTTTAACTTCATCAATTTGTTAATAATTATGAATTTGATGAACTTCATGAATTTGATTAATAATTATGAATTTGATTAACTTCATGAATTTGATTAAAAATTATGAATTTGATTAACTTCATAAGTTTGATTAAAAATTATGAATTTGATTAACTTCATCAATTTGATTTAAAATTATTAATTTTATTAACTTCCTCAATTATGATTTTGATTAACTTCATTAATTTGATTAATATTGTTCTAATAACAATTCTTGGAAATGAAACACTTTTCACAGCACACAGTTAAAATATCTTTCATTATATTGGGATCCATGCATTCTTGATACGAGTTTGCAAGCTACGCTTTTCATAAAATGTCAAAATTACAAATTAAACACATTAAATGACGATTTGTGTTGGTGCTTGTTCAAGATAGAAGCCAGCGGCTGCTTCGTAGCCGCTAGCTTCTATAATACATTGAAAAAGAAAAGTAAAGATAATACATTGAAACAGAAAATTACATTGAAAAAAGAAAGATACGTTGAAAAAGAAAAATACTATTAGGTGACTTGCCCAGATATATAATACGTATATATAAAGAATTAAAAGGAAAAGGCATATGAAGTTTTGAAGTAATCTAAACAAAATGAGGAAGGTTTTTATTTATTCACATTAAATGAAATTTTTTCTATAAGGTACAATACCAGCAAAAAAAGTGGTATGATCAACAATTAACAATAACAGCAAGTAGAGAACGGATAAGTGCGGAATCACGTGATCTCACCGACTAATCAAAACGAATCTTAAATAAGAGCATGGTGGCTGCCAGGCGATTTTTATTTGGTTCTCTCTACAAGTACAAAATATGGATATGACAGTTATAATTCCAATTGTACCAGGAAAAATAGTGCAATCTAAAATCATTTTTATTAATGAATTTCCCAAATACCAGAACTGTTTTTATACAACCAATCCTTTTATCGAATTAATTATAACTATCTGCAGTCAGATAAATATAAAAAATAATAAACATATCATTAAACAAGCTGGTGCATTAATAACTCTTATTATCATTGACTGCTTAAAAACCCAATCATAACTGCAATATACTATTCCGATCAGATATTAGCAATGCATTTTAAAAGCAAGAAAATGTAAGTTATATTGATAGCAAATGTTTTTAAAAAGTGGTGAGCAGATATAAAGAAGAATAGATATGCAGGTGGTTTGCAATTTATGCCTTTTATAAAATGTCGAATCACCAACTGACCACTGATCACGGATTAATCCAATTTTTTCTAAGGAATAATACCAGAAGAAAAAGAAAAAAAAAGTCGTACCATCAACAATTAACAATACCTTCCAGTAGAGAGCGACTAAGCGCGGAATCACGTGATCCCACTAACCAATCAAATCGAAGTGTAAAAGTGCATGATGTTGGCCAGGCGTTTTTTTTTTTATTTGGTACTTATCATCATTATCAGTGGCGCAACAGCCCCATTCTGGGCCAAAGCAATCAGCCTAATGGCAGAGACAAAAGATGTTTTTTTTTATAGAGTAGGGTTGTCAGCTCTACGCCCAACACTCTATAGCCATAATAGACCGGGACCTACGTTTCAAAGTGGATTTCGTACCACTACAAACATTCATGGTACAGACGGGCCTTAGCCATAATGCTTTCTAGCGGCCCAAGTTGCCACTGAACCACGAGACGGGCGCATATGATTAAATATAATATAAAATTCAAATAAATCAATAAAATTTAAAAATAAATAGTTTTTATTAATATATTTCCCAAACACCAGAACTGTTCTTATACAACAAATCCTTTTATCGAATTAATTATAACTAGCTGCTGTCAGAGAAATATAAAAACATAATAAATAAATTATTAAACAAGCACATGCATTAATAATTTACAATATCCCGACTGCTTACAAATCGCAATCATAAATACAATACACTATTCCGAATCAGATATTAGCAATGCGTCTAAAATCTGAGAAAAATTTAATTTATATTGATAGCAAATGTTTTTAAAAAGTGGTGAGTAGATTTTTGCATCCATAATTGCAGTCACCGTTTCGTTTCCAATGGAAATGGTGCTTTTAGGGTAGATTGAAATTGAATATTTCTGTAATAAATTTTCTAATTATAAAAACCATGCTAAAACATATTCTCACTTGAAAAACACGATAAAAATTTTGATTATTGTACGCTTGGTGCAAGATAATTGCCAAATCATCAAATAAGTAAACGAAATGACAGTAGTGGTTAAAGATTTGCTTTAAATACAGCCGCCATTTTGTCTGCCGTTTTAATGCTATGGGGATGATAAATAGTAGAACCATGATAACACGATATAAAACGACAGTTTATATTTTCCTTTTGTGTAGAGTTTTTGAACGTTCGTTCTAACATGTCTACAATTTTATTGAACTCTATATACTACTTAACAATAACAGGTGAGCTGAAAAGTTCATAGGTTCACACATAGATGGCTCTACTAGTATTAAATCCATATGATTTTTAGTTAGCCCTAACCTTCAAAAGACACGTGTATAAATTTGACAGCTGTTGCACTATTAGTATGTGAGTTATAGCCTTTTTAGTGTTCATCACGTACAGTCCACTCGGCTGACTGTCGATTGGATTCCGGTGTGAAATGATGGAGCCATGATTCATCCATTGTCACATATCGACGCAAAAATTCGGGTTTATTACGATTGAACAGCTCCAAACACTGCATAGAATCATCAATTCAGTATTGTTTTGGGTCGATTGTGAGCTCGCGCGACACCTACTTTGAACAGAGCTTTCGCACATCCAAATATTCATTCACTATATGTCCAACATGTTCCTTTGATATATTTAGGGTCTCAGCTATCTCAATCAACTTCACTTTACATTTATCAGAAATTATTTTGTGGACTTTTTTTATGTTTTCGTCGGTAACAGCTTAACAACTTCTTTGGGGAGTCCACTGCGTGCATCGTCCTCGGTGCACATTTCGCCTCGTTTAAATTTAGCAAACCACTTCTCTACGGTTCATTTTCCTGGTGCAAAGTAAGAATTATGTTTATCAAGCCAAGTCTTGGCTTCAATAGTATTTTTTTTCGATAAAAATCAATGCTTTAATTACCACACGAAATTCCTTCTTATCCATTTTTTCAAACTAACAAAAGTTGCTTCACTAAAAATGCTGTAACTCGCATACTAATAGTGCAGCAGCTGTCAAATTTATACACGTGTCTTTTGAAGGTTAGGGCTAACTAAAAATCCTATGGACTTAATACTAGTAGAGCCATCTATGTGTCAGCCGATGAACATGTCAGCCCAACTGTTATATGGATATTATCTGGCCCCAAATCACTCCACCT